TGCTCCAGACGTTCTATGGGTCCTTGTGGAACAACTGGTAAATACGCTGAACCAGCTGTAAAAATAATAATTAAAAATTCTTATTAAAATAGAGTCATCGCTTGTCAAGCTGATGATAATATCTTTTCAGTTTCATCGAACCATCACGTCTGAACCCCAAAAACGTACCTTGTGAATTTGGATTCAAGACATCATGTCTTATTTAATAATTAATAAGTATCTTCATTCTCAAGGGTCGATATGTAGAAAAAAAAATCTTACATTCACAGCTTGGATGCTGAGTTGAACAACGATTGAGTGGGGATTTCTGCGACTGTCTCGTCAATCGTCGCCAATAAGGGAGACTTCCAGGAAGTTTACTTTACTCAAATATCCAAAGAAACATTCTTGCAGTGAAATAAAAGCTATAAATTATTCGGTCGCTTTTTCACCTCTGACGATTGAGACGAGCAACGCAACGAGTCGGTCAGACGGGTGAACTCCAACTGCAACTATCGGATTTCCAGGGATCGCTGCTATTGCTGAGGCCCCATGGGCTGAAATTGCGTCCAATTCAGCGTAAGTGGTTTCGACGTTGTTGAAAATTATTGCTGGTCGATGCCGGGTTTCTTTCGCGGAAAGCACTGGCAAAAATTCTTGCTCCACGCGAGTCGGCAGCGAGTCCGACTTATTGAGCCCCGGGCCGAACTCAATCGACAACTTGCTCATTTTGTTGCTTTTCGTTCTGTCTCAGGACTGCAAATTTAATATTTCAGTGGGATGTTCTGCGATTCTTTTTAGATTCGTTTAAGTAAAACCTTGAAAAGGTTCACCTTACTCCACGTGCAGCGAAATGTTGCGAGAGCACTTAGCGATCACCGGGAGCAATGTGAAAAAGTATAAGTCCGCCTGACACCGTTTTTATTGAATAATTAATTTTTGAGCCGCAGAGGCTTTCTCAATTTTCCTGAATGAAGCCTTGTCAAGGTTTTGTCCAAAGTTTTAATTGGTTGATTTAATTTCTGAGACCCACTGGCTTTCATAATGTTCAATTAGAAATGACTGCAGTTCGATCCTTTCCGTTTCTCTGTTTAACCCTTGGGTGGAAAAGTTAGACTATTTTGCAAAATTTTGTTGCACCTCTGAGAGGAGAAGAAAAAAATGACAACAGGGGGTTGAGGACAATCCTCCTGGTTTTTTCTTTCCCTTTTTCCCTTGGTGCAGAAACATTTTGTGGCAAAAAAAAAAGAGAACGCTCAGTTAAGCAACAGGCTTTTCAACAAATAATTCCAACTCCCTCTCAGCCCACCTGTAAGGGGTTTCCCGACCTTCAGAAAACTGAAAATGGGGGAGGATGCAAAAATAATTTGACTCCATCACACAATTGGAAAGAACCCTCCGCTGTCCAAAGGTTAAATACTTTTATGGAACTCATTCACTATCTCATGAAAGTGAATACCTTGACACCACTTTCAGTTTGGTTGAAACAGTGAATTGAAACACAAGGGCTCTATGACTCTCCTTCTAAGTCTAAGGAATCAGCATACATTCAAACTCCCTCCAGACAACTAACAATCTGCAGAGAGTGAATGTAAAATTATATGCAAAAATCAGTTTTTTTTTTATGTGCAAGTTGTTGGTGTGCAACTTGTTGCTATTTCAGTTGTTGCTATCTAAGTTGTTGGGTAATCCTTTGATGCACAGGAATACCTTTCTTTTCTTTTTCATTCACAATAAAAATGAGTGTTGATATGAGTACAACATCACTAAAGAGTGCATTACAGTGAGACCTTAAAATGCAGACCTTGTCTGCATCTGACATGAACCTTGTCTCTATGTCAGAATATCTGCATGTTGGACCATGTTTTCCGCAGACTTCAATGGAAATTTAGTCAAGTGGTTTTCCAGAAACATAGATTCATTTAAAATTATGTATTAATTATCCCCAAAAATCCAATCAAATGCAGTTTTTGACCCAAAATTACAGAATATAACTGTTCAGAATGGAGAAACTCACACATGATCCAATCTTCTGGAAGAAAAAGGACTCCAAAAAGCAAACAATAGGCACAAGTCAGCTTGCTATCTTGCCGATATATGATGGAGAATGCTCCAAAAAAGCACAAAATAAACCTGTTTTTAGTTATAAATTGAAGTGAATATATAATTAAATTCATTTTAACTTCATATAAAGAGCTCAATTTGTTTAAGAGATTTTAAATTTGAGGAAATTAAAAAATCCAAAATTTTCTACAAATGCTACAGAAGTGTCTGCATGTTGAGATTTTTTCCAGATGTTGGGTCAGATTTTTCAAAGTTTCACTCGTCAAATTGCTGGTATGTTGGGGAGTCCATATTTTAGGGTCTCACCGTACCTTAAAAGTTGTAAACTCTGTTTAATACCTTTAATTTAAAATCCGATGACAGTGACCTTCTTCCGTCATCAATATATCGCACAGATTCACTAAATAAAAATGGTTGAACGTTCCTCGAACCTCTACTCCTCTATAAAAAACTTAATTTTCACAAATTACTGCACTCTGATTATATGTAACACAAGTCAAGTTCGGATTTGAGTTCGGGTAGGACACTGTGTCCTCACTCCTCAGCCGCCTGTACCAGCAGCAATGTCTGAACGCGTCTGAGCCATGCACGAGCTCCACATGCTACTCTCATATTATTGTTCCTTTGCTGCACGAAGACACTCTTATCTCACAGGTCTTCATTATTCGTATTTTTATTTTATATCCTTGTTGTCGTACCACTCATCCTTCTGA